CACGCCGTGCCTCGCGAGAGCCGGCATTACTAAGTGACATCCGCGATGTCACTACATCGCTATACATGCAATGTTAGTCTACGTGCAATGCTAGTCTACTGGCAATTTTAGTCTACGTGCAATGTTAGTCTACTGGCAATGTTAGTCTATGTGAAATGTTAGTCTATGGGCAATGTTAGTCTACTGGCAATGTTAGTCTATGTGAAATGTTAGTCTATGGGCAATGTTAGTCTACGTGCAATGTTAGCTTACGTGCAATGTTAGTCTATGTTCAATGTTAGTCTATGTTCAATGTTAGTCTATGGGCAATGTTAGTCTATGTGCAATGTTAGTCTACATGCAATGTTAGTCTATGTGCAATGTTAGTCTACATGCAATGTTAGTCTATGTGCAATGTTGGTCTATGTGCAGTCTTAGTCTATGTGCAATGTTAGTCTATGTTCAATGTTAGTCTATGTGCAATGTTAGTCTACTGGCAATGCTAGTCTATGTGCAATGTTAGTCTATGTGCAATGTTAGTCTATGGGCAATGTTAGTCTGTGGGCAATATTAGTCTATGGGCAATGTTAGTCTATGGGCAATGTTAGTCTATGTGCAATGTTAGTCTAAGTGCAATATTAGTCTATGTGCAATGTTAGTCTATGGGCAATGTTAGTCTATGTGCAATGTTAGTCTATGTTCAATGTTAGTCTATGTGCAATGTTAGTCTACTGGCAATGCTAGTCTATGTGCAATGTTAGTCTATGTGCAATGTTAGTCTATGGGCAATGTTAGTCTGTGGGCAATATTAGTCTATGGGCAATGTTAGTCTATGGGCAATGTTAGTCTAAGTGCAATGTTAGTCTATGTGCAATGTTAGTCTATGGGCAATGTTAGTCTGCGGGCAATGTTAGTCTATGGGCAATGTTAGTCTATGTGCAATGTTAGTCTATGGGCAATGTTAGTCTATGTGCAATGTTAGTCTATGGGCAATGTTAGTCTATGGGCAATGTTAGTCTATGTGCAATGCTAGTCTATGTGCAATGTTAGTCTATGGGCAATGTTAGTCTATGGGCAATGTTAGTCTATGGGCAATGGTAGTCTATGGGCAATGTTAGTCTATGGGCAATGTTAGTCTATGTACAATGTTAGTCTATGGGCAATGGTAGTCTATGGGAAATGTTAGTCTATGTGCAATGTTAGCCTATGGGCAATGTTAGTCTATGTGCAATGCTAGTCTATGTGCAATGCTAGTCTATGTGCATGGTTAGTCTATGTGCAATGCTAGTCTATGTGCAATGCTAGTCTATGTGTAATTTTAGTCTATGTACAATGTTAGTCTATGGGCAATGTTAGTCTAGGTGCAATGCTAGTCTACGTGCAAAGTTAGTCTATGTTCAATGTTAATCTACTGGCAATGTTAGTCTATGTGCAATGTTAGTCTATGGGCAATGTTAGTCTATGTGCAATGTTAGTCTATGTTCAATGTTAGTCTATGGGCAATGTTAGTCTATGTGCAATGTTAGTCTACGTGCAAAGTTAGTCTATGTTCAATGTTAATCTACTGGCAATGTTAGTCTATGTGCAATGTTAGTCTATGGGCAATGTTAGTCTATGGGCAATGTTAGTCTGCGTGCAATGTTCGTCTATGGGCAATATTAGTCTACTGGCAATGTTAATCTACGGACAATGTTGGTCTATGGGCAATGTTAGTCTACTGGCAATGTTAATCTACGGACAATGTTGGTCTATGGGCAATGTTAGTCTACTGGCAATGTTAGTCTGCGGGCAATGTTGGTCTATGGGCAATGTTAGTCTACGAGCGATGTTAGTCTATGGGCAAAGTTTAGATTGTCGTGAGTTCTTGAGCAAAAAAATAGTTAATTAATGAGACGCCAATTTCTAGATCTTACCGAACGTGGACGGCAGCAATAACATGTTCACCTCGCGGAGCAATTTTCGGCAATTGTGAACGGAGGATAATTTAAGATTTTAAATTATTCTAAAAGGCGAACAAGCATGGTGAACGATGCAAGGTGTATATTCACAGAAGGAGCTGGATATCAGCGCACCGCTTGGGAACAAGACCCGCTGTGCTTATATTCATAATAGCATGATTGTTTCATTAATTGCCCCTTTTTTTACACCACCGGTGTAATGTAAGTATCTTGCTTATATCAGAACTGTACTTGTAAAAGGTGCGCTTTTATCAGATTCAATTGTACCTAAGATGCCATGATAGCATACATACATTTTATACGGTGGAATTTTTTGTTGTTGCTTATCTCATGCATAATTAGAATCTTGAGCATAATCCTGAATTATTCAGTTCATATGCTAGAGGCATAATGCAGGCTGTAAAATAAGCAGAATTTAATCAAATTTCTCGTCAATAATTACGAAAGAAATTCAATACATATCATGGTCATCTAACAATCTCAAATGGGGAAATCCTCTGCATATATGTATTTCTGTACACTGGAGTATATCTAGTAGCCTACATATACTACGTTTTAAATTGTCATTTTTAAGCTTAGGAGAGAAAACGATTTGGAAAATAGACAAAAATTCGAACAATATAAATGAGAAATTTTCGGACAACCCAACTCCTATCTATGCAACTTGAGCGCTCTCCACTTTCTGACCGAGTAAACCAAAACGAACCCCCATCGAGACAGTCTTGAGATGCATTCATTGATTGGAGATTTCCTCAATTATCCCCTTTTAATGTTCACTCCCGTAAATTGTACCGAGGGTCTGTCGTGGTGCCACACAGGGTACGGTTTCGGCTGATAAATAAACACGAGTCCGTCAAAGGCATCTGTCAAGACTCTTTCACGACGGAGGGCGGGCGCGGTGCGACCTGCAGCGTCTCCTAGCAACCGCTCTCAGGAGGAGGAGGAGGAGGGAGGAAGGATATGAGGAGGAGAAAAAAAAAGAGCGGCACACGCATTAGGATGTGCGCTGCGTGCAGGTGCCGTACGACATGCACTGCGAATCCACAGCCAACCCCCCCCCCCCCCTGCCAACCCCCCCACCCAATCTCCAGATGTTGTTGGGCCGCGAGACATTGTGTAAGAGGTTACGATTCGCTTGCTTGCAAGGGCCTGCCTGCAGAATGCAAATGCGCCGCATTGAGATCCCAATCGAGAATCGTTCTCTCCATCGAGCTGCCATTCATTGCAAATTTGTTGGAATAAACGGCAGCTGAGCAGCAGCAGTCGTGGTACGTGGAATCCTCCTCCCCCACCACCACGTGCTGTTCTCCAAAGAGAGGGCAGGTGTTTGGTCGGTGTGTGTGTGTTAGTGTGGGGAGCGGTGGTGTAGCGGTTAGCGCTACGCTGGGCTGCGAACCTGGTGACCCGATCTCGATTCGCGCTCACGGCCAACACCGGTGGAGATTATCTGAACCGGTCCTGGGCCAACTCTTGGGTCGACTCAGCCTCAAATGAGTACCTGGTGCGGTGTGTAAACGTCGCCGCTGGGGAGACAAAGGCGGCCGGGCGTGGTGCTGGCCACCCACCCCCCCTCGTGTGCCGTGCCGGCCTTCGTAGGTGATGCTCGCTAACAGCGCTTGCCCCTACAGTCTGTTACAGGCTACACGGGGGATCTTAGTCTTTGCAAGCAAGAGTCGCTGGTGCTGGTGGGCGGGTGGACGCCTCATATACGACAATGAATTAATCGGTCTGGCCACGTTGAAAGAGACGCACAGAAATCCCGTGCAAGCTGTAACGAGGAACGGGACCCAAATTTGTGACGTGCGCCACCGTGGCGCTCGGTGCAGCGCTGCCAGCCGGCAGGGAGGAGACATTCACCGGCAGTCGCGGCTGACATCGCGGGCGCAAAGGGTTCTTGGTTGGGGCGGACGCGTGCGCGGTGTCGGAAGGAGCTGCAGGGGAAGGAGGGAAAAGCGCGCGACCCTCTCATCACCATTCAGCTGCTTGTCTGCTTGGCATTTGCGGGGGGGGGGGGGGGGAGATGTGTGCGTTCAGTGGCTCGGAGCCAGAGGACGCACGCACGCATCCACGAGCGAGACAAAGATCCCCGAACAGAATTTTTTAAAATATTTTTTTTTATTTGGGGCAAGTGTCGTTAGCGAGCAAGCAGCTATGAGGGCCGGCACGCCACACGAAGTGTTGTGGGTGGTCATCATCGTAGTGGCGATGTATACACACCGCACCAGGTACTCGTGAGGCTAACGCGACCTAAGGGAGGCTCAGGACCATTTCGGATAATCATTCACTGGTGTTGGCCCTGAGCGGAAATCAAACTCGGGTCACCCGGTTCGTAGCCCCGAGCGCTCACCGCTACGTACACGACCGCTCCCCAGCACACGCGCACACATACACAGCCCATGGGCTCCTTTCTCGCTTGTCATAGCAACGTCAGCGGTCCAATGGCAACCGCTAAAGTTATGGGATTTGAATTTTGAACGGATGGTCTTTGTGATGGTGGTGGGTGTAGCGTCATCAAACGGTTGCGTGGCATTCAATATCGTGTATATCATGTGTGCGTGTACGCACACAAATAGTTTGCATCGGAGCCACCGTAAACCAGACATTTCGATGCATAAACGTCATGGTTTAAATGTCACAATTTATTTTTTGCATCATTAAATGGAATGAAAACAACACAATGCGCTCACTATCTACATGCAATATTTAAATATAAATCGTCACCATATCTCACGTCGTTATTTTTACGTTGAATACATCCACACGCACTCATTGCAAGAAAAAAATATGAACACAATTCAAATCTCTCCTGCAGCATTTATTTCAAACGAAGCTTACGTTGATTCAAATACCGCCGATGTAACAATCATCGTTACAATCAGAAGAGGCATCTTAATTGTTGGCTTTTTGTATTTCTTTGCCTTTGCCGTGGTTTGTGTGAATGTGTGGAAGCACGGGCGCGCACATGCACACACACAAACACACGTGCGTGCGCGCGCGTGCGTGCGCGTGCACAGTTAAAAGGGGGGGGGGGGGCTCGTGCTGCATTCGATTTCATCACCGCAGGCGCGCGCCATATCGCTGCACTGCGAGCGAGCGAGGGAGCTGGCTGGCTGCAGACACATCCTCGCGCTCCCATCATCCCGCAGACCTCGAGCAGGTAATTCACGCACACCGAGCTTTCACGCACACGGACGCGTATATAACAACAAGCAGCACTGTCCGCTTTTACCACCGGCCAGAGAATAACTGTCATAGCATATTTGCACAGTCCTGTATTGCAGCTCCAGAGAGAGAGAGAGAGATAAATAAATAAATAAATATTCTGTTGGATGGTGGTAGGTGTTTTTGTTTGTGTGTAGCATGATTTATTAGCTGGTGTGTGCGTGTGTTTTGAGCAGAACATTCTACGTGTGAAACGCTTCGTGGTGAGAAGCTGCGTATATTTTAAATCAGAAGCTGCCTATATTTGAAATCATGGGTACAAAACGTGATGTGGCATTTCATTCAGGATCTCGAGCGGTTACATTGGAATTATTATCGTGCACGGTTAATGTCCTCATCCGTGGTGTCATCAATTGATGTTGGCTCGCGTAATGTTTTGTTTGCTGTTGCTACTGCCGTCCGAATGAGTCATTCGTCCCGTCAGAATGAGGGGTTTGCAATGTTAATCTGAAGCACCGTCTGGGTGAGCGGGCGCTCCCGTGTGCTCCCAGGCACGCAACACGCTCCTTGCATTTCAATGCATTACACTGCTGCAGTCTTGCCGCCAAATGCCTAGCGCCCATGCTTCGGAGCAATTTCATTTGGTCAGTCGTCCGGCGTTGTCTGAACCCAGAAAGCTAAGTGCTGATTTATAACGTTAAATTGACTCCAGCATCAACGGCGTTTGTAATTAAACAGTTTTCATGTGTACTCTAGCTAAATAATGCATTGCCGTTAATTTGACGGGACTGTTCGAATGCATAGAAAAAAAGACGCACTCCGTTTATTTTTCTGCAAAATGTTAATAGAATTGTGACATAAAAAAAAATTGAAAGATAAAATGTATTTTTTTTTAAAAAACCAGTGTATCAAAATAGATCATTTTAAAACAAATACCATACCAAAACCTGTTTTAAAGGCTGAAACGGCCTCGTTTTTTTTCTGTCACAAACACACAGCCGCTGTGAATTCCTTTGATGTTGCACAAATGAAAAAATCGCGACCACAAGGTGCGGCCGTGTGCGGTAGATGTGGCTGAAAATTGTCAATGGAGGGGTGACATCTTGGGGGTGTGTGCCATAGGGGCCCACGCTGTTGTTGCGATCGATACAAATCCCAACATCCATCAGAGCATCCAAGCTCCATCACATCCTACGTTCTGTTCAGCTCCGTCTGTTCCGATCAAACCGTTCACAGCACGAAGCAACAGGCTGTCCGTTAACCACACCCTCCCACCTCCCAATATATATCGGTATTTAAATTGTTTTCCTGCCCAGCTATAAAATTACCATTCACCGTGGTTATTTTGAGGTTTCGGTGCGTATAATGTACGTATTTTAATGCAGCTATTAGAAATGATCATTTAACCAGAAAAATACAATGCACCGCTTTTAATTTCAGAAATCGTAGATTGTATTATCGTGCCCTGTTCGTGCTCCGAATGCTATTATTTTGAATCGCGGGCGTTTCTGCTTTCGGTATGGATAAAAAGAAATATACATGGCGCAATATCTGCTCATGAGCACGTGCAGTTGCTTTGTAATTAACACATTCAATTAACACATATCTCTTAACCAATTTGTCAGACTGCGCTGTATTTTTCAACCGCGATCGTCGTAGATTTTGGGCAACATATGTCCCTGAAGACAGAATCGCGCGGTGTCTCTCCGACCCCAGCATGGAGCTGGAGCGGGTAAAGGGTTACACGGCGCAAACATGCACGTCCCCCGGCTCTCCATATTTATTTATTTACCGCTTTGCAGATAAAGACGAGGGCCGGACACAGCGGGCGCAAGCTCCTCTTGGAATCAAACCGACCGCGATGGGCGTGGCGACCTCACAGAAGCCCGCGCCGGAGTCGCCCGATGACAGCGGCATGGAGGGTGGTTGGCAAAACTGGGACATCCCTTGCCCTAGCCCGACGGGCATGTGGCCCAACGCGAGCGATCTGCCCTGGGGTGCTTTCAACGGAACGAACAGCACGTGCAACGGCACGGAGGGCTACTCCACGTCGCCCATCGTGGTGAGCATCATCACGGCGCTCTACGCCGTCGTGTGCGTCGTGGGCCTCATCGGGAACATCCTGGTCATGTACGTCATATTGCGGTAAGGAGCTGCACCGCATGCCACACTCGCGCGCGCTCGTTCCCCAGCGGTGCCCAGCCAACCCTCGTTGCATTAATATTGCATGTGTTTTTTTGTGCAAACTGCTGCTTGGTTGCGGGGAGATCAAACCATATCTCTGACTGAAATGTGAATTGCTTGCTGGGTTGTTGATATTTTTGCCGAGGCTGCAGCAGAAATTATTTTACCCGAAGTGTGAATTGTGCTTGAGATGTGATGCCAATTGTGCCCAGTTGCTTGGAACGCTGCTGCAAAAAAAAATGGAACGCGGCGGCATTATTTAACCAGCCTAATTTCAAAATCCATTGTGCCAGGGCTCTTTCTGCAATGTGACAGCATAGTCAGCTGGTCTATCAGCCGTTAAAATAATCCTCTACCTTTATCTGCTCTTGCATCCGTCTCTTAAAAGCATCTAAAATGACACACTTCAAATGGGTCCCACAATATTAACTCCAAGCATTCCACCACCATTATTCGTCAACTCTCAGGGTGGGATTAAACATAGAACGTGGAGACACGAACCTCATGGCAGGACCCCGGGGTCCCGAATAAACGAAAGTCAAAATCGTAATTAATTTATTTTTGGCGACTCCGTCCCACCGAGCACACAAACGCCGCGACCCACCTGGCGTGGATCATTCTGTTGTCGTGTCGTCCAAGCGCAGCGAGGACGAATGCGCACAAGAGCTGAACAAGCGAATGCACTCCATGCTCGGGTATAGGCAGGATCATAACAAGTCTTATCCAAAGCTGCTCAAACTGCCTACACGACTTAAGTCCTGTATTTGTCATAACGGTATGCATAATACAGTGAAACTGCTCTCTTATCTTCATTGTTATTTGTGACTTACCAATGTCTGCAGCCAGGATCAATCGATGACAATCCTATTACCTGCAGATATTTAACAGATGAGATGCGTTGCACCGTTAATTCCTCCTGTTTGATAATACTTCTCTTGTCCGTGTGCATCTGTGCAGATAGGTTTTTTTTGCGGTTAAGCCATCGTCCCCACATACCGCTCGTATCAATGCGGATAAGAGGAGAGGCGACCCACTACTCTGTAGAGTAACATTGCTATAAACGCTTGTTACAATATGAACAGCGCATTGAAAACGCGCACTATTTTATGTACTGTTTACAAAGTGTGTTCACAAATCCACACTGAGAAACAATGATTGACAGAGGGGGGTAAATTATCTTTTGGATAGTGTATTTAAATAGAGGTACTGCAGGTAAGTAGTTTTCAGTTTTAAAGGCATAGTTTAACAAGACAACACTTGCCACCATCCTTCAACCCCATTGGTGAAAAAGAGCATAAGGTTCATATACCTGTACGTTTATCAATGAAGGCTGAAACACTTTTTTATCTACTGTGTGAGGTATACGCTCTCTGAAAACACAAGGATCGATTTTTTTATAGGGAGCAATGGAATTTAGTTCATCCACTGAACAATGAGTCTATCCATCAAGATTACATTCTTGACTGTGCGCACAAGCGGCATTTGCTATCAGAACCTGGCCCGAGCCTTCTCCAGATTGAATTATGTACCAAGCGTGACCATCAGTCACAAGGAGACAAACCAGCTGGGTGTTCCACGAATTTTTTTTGCTAACAGCATTTTCTCACAAGTCTTTGCAGAGACAGACTTATCATGTGTGGCACATACAGACATATACTGTCACCACATACTACATACATAAACGTGTCCCTTACTGATATTATATTTTCCTACACCACGTTAATGTTTTTTTTTTAAATAAAAACTGTTGTTGGAAATAAATCACGGGTGCGCACATGTGATTGCCCATTTTCAATACACTGCTGGTATGAGGGCTTCTCTGTACTAAGCTGGTTGTAGGGCTCATTTGACAAACTTCCCCATGGCTGGTCAGTGCAGGTTGGTGAGGCAGGGGAGTGGGGGGAGAGTGTGGATGTGGAAGCATGGATGTAAAGAACAATAGATTTGCGTTGTCCACCGTGTACCCTCACGGGATTCTCCAGCACCTGTTAGGCTTAATGGAAGCATGGATATAAAGAACAATAGATGTTTGTTGCCCATCGTGTAGCCCCACGGGAGCCTCCAACACCTGTTTGGCTTGGTGGTCACCCATCCAAGCCCTATCCAAGCTCAGCTTTGCTTAGCTTGATCACATTACAGGTGAATTGTTTATAGGCTCATTGGGAAAATTATAACTGAAATATGGTATCAATATAAGTTTATTTGCAACATATATGAAGGTTTCAAACAGGCATTCGGATTAATGCGTACGCACCTCGCGTGCAGGTTTTGAGTAGATTAATTATTAACGTTGTAGCATCGTTAGAGATGAATTGGGAAGGTATTCATCCAGCAGTAGATTGACAAAGGGTCATGATGAATCAGCACATCACATTTTTATTTTGACAATTTTAAATTAAGTGACATTTCATGGGGCCATGGGTAATGGTGGCCCCGAATGGTTTTGAATGCAGGATGGAGTGTGTGCACAACTTTGTGTGGACGTAATGTGCTTTGAAAGATTCATTGAGAATGTCACTGCTTTATTTAAATGTTAAGATTGCACACATTAACAATTCCGGGAACAGCAGGGTTTAAAACGTTCTCAAATTTACCTTACATCGTAATTTCTCTAAAAATGTTTTTTTTATTTACTGTGCATTGTTTTTTACATTCTGCTTTCCCTGGAAAACTCAACAAGTATATGAATAAGAACAACACTTAACACAACAACAAGTATATGAATAAGAACAACACTTAACACAACACCGGCATTGGAGGTGGCTCAGGTGTCAAGAGATCCCGACCAGATCCTGGAGTTCAAATCTGGGTTTCAGCCCTCCACGATTAAACTGGATGTTTAAGTGTAGCGAGTTGAACGTCTCAAATTGGTAATCAATGATTCAACAAAAATCCTAAAATTTAAATGGTTTTTTTTGTTTGTTGTTCATGAAATTGGCTTATTCCTGCTTTAAGAATTACCTCCGGTTGGATTGCCATGCAAAGGACATCTCTTCGCAGGGCATCTATATATATAAAACAAAGCTCTGCCCCGAGTGTGGAATTAGAGGCCTGTTGATGTCACCACCTGAAGTCGTCGTTCTGTGACGTCATCTCCCAGGGCTCTTCTTTGACACATGCGAGGCCAGCTGCAAGAGATCTGAATGGAAATTTCCCTCGTCTCGCGACATAATGGGGGGGGGAGGGGGGGGTGTTGGTGAATATGTAAAATAAAGCGGTCCAGATGGCAGGGTGGAGACGAAGATTTACGCTCGACATGTGTGGGGCAACCACCTGAAGAGAACAATGAGGTAGCAGCTGCAGGCAGGGAAACAAGTAGGATGGCTACCCAAGTTGTGTGGAGTTTGATAGTTCTTCCCACAAACCATCATCGTCAACCATGATCAATCCACTGCTGGATGATAATCTCCACCAGGCTGTCGCCACCTCACAATCACGTGATGTAATGATCCCTTCCCCTCCCCACCGCCCCTCAATTGCATCGGTTTTTATCAAACCACTCTTAGCCTCTTCACACAAGAAAAACACTGAAAAGCAGTATTGGCCAACATCTCAATGCATGAAAAATATGAATAAGTTTTACCCTTTCTGAGAATAAAACAGGCGTTAAGATGGTCAAACACCAAATAGATACCTGTTTGCAAGGAATCAAATCGACATTAACCACACGTACTTGTAGTGAATATGCAAACAAGCATTAGTAATATATGCATTGCCTTTGAAAGTGATTGGCCTGCATCAGAAACAGTGTCAGACCAGAGAATGCCAAAGGCAACAGTACAAAGACTGCAAGTATCAGATCATTAATAGTTCGGGGGTGAGCAGCTATATCATTTGACCTTTTTTGCCAGTCTTAAAGTATTAAAAATAATAGGGGTTATACTTTCAAAAGGGAGCTATTTGGTGTTTTAACGTCTTAACATCTGTTTTACTTCCAGAAAGGGTAAAACCTATTGTTATTTCTTTTTTTATATTCCACACTGGCAAAAACAGATCCCTTGACATCCCAATGCACGATGCATCTCCCGAAGCAGTTTTGAGACTAGTCGGGCTTTCTGGACAAATGGATGTTATTATACAACTCCGTTTTTCAGGTGCCAGGTACGAGACGTTTTCTGCAAAGGGGCAATTTCGAAAATGGATGACAAATAGGCTTGGTGCTGCCCTCTGAGGCCGTTATGCAATCTGTAGGTTTCAGCAACATCATTGTAAGCCGTGCACGGATACCACACTGCGGTTCCGTCGCAATGTCGGGGCTTAGGTTAAACATCACAGATGTTTACGGGACATATTCCCAAACTGGGTTTGTTTTCATCTACCCAAAACCTGTGGCTTTGAGAGCGACGGTATGAGTACGGAATCGGCAGGGTCTGTGTCAATCGGCACATTTTTTGCCTTAGAATTCTATTTGCTTGGGCAAAACACACTGCTAGATGGGATAATGGCTGATGCTGAAGAAGTGGCCACCGAGGAATGGACCATATCAACATTACAATCTTTTTACGGATTAAGCGCGTAATAAAGATTCGTCCGCTTTGTCTTTACTACCAACCCGCGCTGTCACGTCGCTTCGGAGGGGGGGAGGAGATGCGACTTGGCCGTGCCGCCTTTTGCATCGTTTTTGTGGTTCGAGAGCCATGCTGGCCGTCCCTTGTTAATTACTGGCAGGTTGCACTCACCATGGATACATGCCACCTGCTTCACAGTGGACAAAACAGATCTTGTTACTTTATTCGAACAAGAGCAAGGCTTACGCGATGCCCTCACGGTCTATATTTACAGAAGAAAAAAAAGCCTGCCAAATAGTTCATGGGTGAAACCACGTACCAACATTGCCGTACACTGACGGACTATGCCCGTATGGAACACAGCGCCTTCGAGGAAGCCTTTATGTGACATGAATGACGTAGACACCAAATGTAATTTATTTTATTAATGCATTCATATTTCATGAGGTAGAT